GTTCTGCAAAAAGCTACAGGTGATGCTAAGGGTGTGTATCTAAGTCAGTGGAATGTTTCCAAAATATAGACATAACAGCCACCCCTCAATTGTTTGTTAGAGACTGAGCAAGGTAAGATCAGTACGAGATGAAATGTCGGAATTCCTAAATATTATCCTGGTTGTCTCACTGATCGAATAATCTGCAGATTTAGGAGCGAAATAATCGCTACAGTGGGGAAAAATTCCGGACCGTGGGCCGTATCGTAAAAAGCTGGACCGGTCACGTGCGTATAATTAGCCAATCAAATTCGAGAATTTAGGATTCCTCCCCGCTCAGATGCTTGAGAAAAAAAATAAATTTGTAGATTTAGGACTTTTGTGAGTTCTATAAAAAGCTACAGTCGATGTTAAGGGTGTGTATCTAAGTCAGTGGAATGCTCCCAATATATATCTATGTACATAACAGCCACCCCTCAGTTGTTTGTTAGAGTGAGCAAGGTAAGATCAGTCTAATTTGAGACGAAATATCGGAATTCCTAAATGTTATCCTGACTGTTTCATCGATGAATTTTCTGCAGATTTTAATTTCTTGAGTTCATCCGACGCTAAGAAGAAGATCCAAGGTAGGAAGCAAGATTTCTCTGATCTCAATAAGACTGACAAATAAAAGTGTCTAAGTTGATGTGAATTAAATATAGGTAGGTACTAATGCAGAGGGCTCATTTAGAAGTTTGCAGCAGATGGTAACACAGAGTTCTTAGGGTTAAACCCTTCATCAGGCTATCTCAAAGTATTTTTGTTAGTGGCTTATTTTTACTATGGCTCTTTGTATTTTGTACTCATAGTGGAATAAATTCGTCGCCTGTTGCTCTCTTTTAAGGAATGCTCGTGGCCACTTTAAGCAAGCTTTTAAACTATCGACTTGAAATTAAAGGGATTTTGATTCTGAAGGTGTGTGTTTTCTTGCACAAATTAGTCAAACCAGAAAAATTCATTACGGTATGCAATTTTTTTCAAAAAAAGTAAAACACATAAGAAATACACTGGGAAAAAAGATTCGCAAATTACGTTATGTAATTTTCTTTGGCGTGGTTCAGGCGCACTTTATGCGTTCTGTGTGGTGCCGGCATTTTGGTACGGTTTTGTGTCATTCAGTAATGCGCTGGATTACTGTTAATTTCTAGATATGAAAATTCACGGTTTTCAACTTATATTACAATGTTTGTTTGTTATTCAATGCAATTGGAATGTTGCGACCGAAAAAAGAGGAATTCAAAACAATCATGTCATGCTCCAAAAGTATGTCCATAACAGCCAACCCTCAATTAAAATGGAACCTTGCTTAAAACACACAATGCCTTTCTTAATTCTCAAAATATTTCATTTTAAAAATCATCAATTATCAGTTGCGTTATCATATCTTCGTTAATTAAATACAAAAGAAAGAATCAATAACCAGCGATATGCAGGTAGTTTCAGTCAGTATATCATTTATAATTGTTCTTTTTTTTTCAGAAAACCAGCATACAACTAAAGTAATCGAACAACACAGAAAAAAACACTGATATGGGGTAGACGAATTTAAAATCTGCAAAACCTCCACATTCTAATGACGGAAATCGAAATTTATTCAATCTATCAGTCTGAAACCGAAACTAAAACTATAAAGTAAATATGTCTGGAAATTTAGGACTTTGGTCGCTTTCGTGACTTCTACTGAAAGCTACAGGCGATGTTAAGGGTGTGTATTTAAGTCTGTGGAATATTTCCAAAATATAGACATAACAGCCACCCCTCAATTGTTTGTTAGAGACTGAGCAAGGTAAGATCAGTTTGAGATTAAACGAATTCCTAAATGGCGTCCTGACTGTTTCATTGATTAATTTGCTACAGATTTTGATTTCTTGAGTTCATCCGACGCTAAGAAGAAGACTTAAGGTAGGTAGCAAGATTTTCCTGTTCTTGATATGACTGACAAATGAAAGTGTATAAGTTAATGTAAGTAAGATACACGTATGTAATAATGAAAAGGATTCATTTAGAAGTTCGCAGTAGATAATAACACAAATTTCTTCGGGTTACGCTCTCCGTCAGCCCGGCTTTCCCATTTTATTTTTTTTGGTAGCTTATTTTCACCGTGGCATAATGTTTCTATAGATGTTGTGCTAGTGAAATAAATTCGTCGCTTCTTCCTCTTTGAAGAAGCCCTTGTGCCCACTTTAAGCAAGCTTTTAAACTGACGACGTAAAATAAAAGTGAGTTTGATTATGAAGGTGCCTGTTTTTGTGCGCGAATAAATCAAACGAGTAAAATTATCTACAGTATCATTTTTTTATTCAAGTAAAACTTCAACACGATGGGAAAAATAGATTCACTAATTACGTCATGTAATTTTCTTCGGCGTCTTTATGCGTTCTGTGCGATGCCAGCATTTTGCTACGGTTTTGTATCATTCGGTATTGCACTGGATTACTGTTAGTATCTATGTATGAAAATGAACGGTTTTGTAACCTAGCTTAGTGATTTACGTTACAATGTTTACTATTCAATGCAATTGGAATATTGCGCCGGACTGAAAAGAAGAATTCAAAACGATCATGCAGTGCTCCAAAATTATGTCCATAACAGCCACCCCTCAATGAAATGGAGCCTTGTTTTCCATCATGCAATACAGTTTAGAAACAAACTTTGCTTAAAACACAATGCCTTTCTTAATTCTCATAATATTTTCATTTTACAAATTATCAATTATCAGTTGCGTTATCATAATTCATATACCGTAAATTAAATACAAAAGAAAGAATCAATAACCAGCGACGCAGATAGTTCGACTCAGTATTTCAATTATAATTTTTCTTTTTTTCACAAAAACAGCGTACAACTAAAGTAATTGAACAACACCGAGAAAAGACACTGATATGGGGTAGACGAATTCAAAATCTGCAAAACCTCCACATTCTGATGAAAGAAAACGAAATTTATTCAATCTATCAGTCTTATCACGGTACTAGAACTATAAATTAAATATGTCTGGAAATTTAGGACTTTAGCCGCTTTCGTGAGTTCTACTGAAAACAACAGGCGGTGTTAAGGGTGTGTATCTAAGTCAGTGGAATGCTTCCAAAATATAGACATAACAGCCACCCCTCAATTGTTTGTTAGAGACTGAGCAAGGTAAGATCAGTTTGATACGAAATGAATTTTCAAATGTTCTTCTGACTGTTTCATTGATTAATTTGCTGCAGATTTTGATTTCTTGAGTTTATCCGACGCTAAGAGGAAGATTTAAGGTAGGTAGCGTTAAGATTTCCCTGATCTCAATATGATTGACCAATAAACTGAAAGTATATAACTTGATGTGAGTAAGAAGTACTTATGTCAGTAATAATGCAAAGGATTCATTTAGAAGTTCGCAATAAATGGTAACACAAAGTTCTTAGGGTTTAACTCTCCGTCAACCTATCTCATTTTATTTTTGTTGGGAATTTATTTTCACTGTGGCATGTTGATTGTATTTCGTGCTTATAGTGGAATAAATTCGTCGTTTGGTTGTCTTTTAAGGAACGCTTGTGGCTAGCTTTAGCCAAATGTTTAAATTGACGTTGTATATAAAATCAAAGGGATTTTGATTATGAAAATTTGTGTTTTTGGCCGTAAATTAATCAATCGAGAAAAATTTTTCTACAGCATGATTTGTGTTTCAAGTAAAATTGAATAACGTAAGAATTACGATGGATAAAAAGATTCGCTAATTACGTTATGTAATTTTCTTTGGCGTGGTTCAGGCGCACTTTATGCGTTCAGTGTGATGCCAGCATTTTGGTACGGTTTTGTATCATTTAATATTGCGCTGAATTACTGTTAATTTCTACGTATGAAAATTCACGGTTTTCCAACTTATATTACAATGTCTGCTATTCAATGCAATTGGAATGTTGCGTTTGAAAAAAGAGGAATTTAAAACAATCAGGTAGTGCTCCAAAATTATGTCCATAATAGCCAACCCTCAAGTAAAATGGAACCTTGTTTTCCATCATACAATACAGTTTAGAAGCAAACTTTGCTTAAAACACAATGCCTTTCGTAATTCTCTTAATATTTTCATTTTGCAAATTATCAATTATCAGTTGCGTTATCATAATTCATATTCCGTAATCATAATACCGTTAATTAAATACAAAAAAAAGAATCAATAACCAGCGATGCAGGTAGTTCTAGTCAGTATTTCACTTATAATTTTTCTTTTTTTTCACAACAGCACAACACATGCAATTAAAGTAATAGAACAACACCGAGAAAAACACTGATATGGGGTAGACGAATTCAAAATCTGCAAAACCGCTACATTCTAATGAAAGAAAACAAAATTTATCCAGTCTATCAGTCTTAAGCCGCAACTAGAACTATAAAGTAAATATGTTTGGAAATTTTAATTAAAAGGACTTCGGTCGCTTTCGTGAGTTCTGCAAAAAGCTACAGGTGATGCTAAGGGTGTGTATCTAAGTCAGTGGAATGTTTCCAAAATATAGACATAACAGCCACCCCTCAATTGTTTGTTAGAGACTGAGCAAGGTAAGATCAGTACGAGATGAAATGTCGGAATTCCTAAATATTATCCTGGTTGTCTCACTGATCGAATAATCTGCAGATTTAGGAGCGAAATAATCGCTACAGTGGGGAAAAATTCCGGACCGTGGGCCGTATCGTAAAAAGCTGGACCGGTCACGTGCGTATAATTAGCCAATCAAATTCGAGAATTTAGGATTCCTCCCCGCTCAGATGCTTGAGAAAAAAAATAAATTTGTAGATTTAGGACTTTTGTGAGTTCTATAAAAAGCTACAGTCGATGTTAAGGGTGTGTATCTAAGTCAGTGGAATGCTCCCAATATATATCTATGTACATAACAGCCACCCCTCAGTTGTTTGTTAGAGTGAGCAAGGTAAGATCAGTCTAATTTGAGACGAAATATCGGAATTCCTAAATGTTATCCTGACTGTTTCATCGATGAATTTTCTGCAGATTTTAATTTCTTGAGTTCATCCGACGCTAAGAAGAAGATCCAAGGTAGGAAGCAAGATTTCTCTGATCTCAATAAGACTGACAAATAAAAGTGTCTAAGTTGATGTGAATTAAATATAGGTAGGTACTAATGCAGAGGGCTCATTTAGAAGTTTGCAGCAGATGGTAACACAGAGTTCTTAGGGTTAAACCCTTCATCAGGCTATCTCAAAGTATTTTTGTTAGTGGCTTATTTTTACTATGGCTCTTTGTATTTTGTACTCATAGTGGAATAAATTCGTCGCCTGTTGCTCTCTTTTAAGGAATGCTCGTGGCCACTTTAAGCAAGCTTTTAAACTATCGACTTGAAATTAAAGGGATTTTGATTCTGAAGGTGTGTGTTTTCTTGCACAAATTAGTCAAACCAGAAAAATTCATTACGGTATGCAATTTTTTTCAAAAAAAGTAAAACACATAAGAAATACACTGGGAAAAAAGATTCGCAAATTACGTTATGTAATTTTCTTTGGCGTGGTTCAGGCGCACTTTATGCGTTCTGTGTGGTGCCGGCATTTTGGTACGGTTTTGTGTCATTCAGTAATGCGCTGGATTACTGTTAATTTCTAGATATGAAAATTCACGGTTTTCAACTTATATTACAATGTTTGTTTGTTATTCAATGCAATTGGAATGTTGCGACCGAAAAAAGAGGAATTCAAAACAATCATGTCATGCTCCAAAAGTATGTCCATAACAGCCAACCCTCAATTAAAATGGAACCTTGCTTAAAACACACAATGCCTTTCTTAATTCTCAAAATATTTCATTTTAAAAATCATCAATTATCAGTTGCGTTATCATATCTTCGTTAATTAAATACAAAAGAAAGAATCAATAACCAGCGATATGCAGGTAGTTTCAGTCAGTATATCATTTATAATTGTTCTTTTTTTTTCAGAAAACCAGCATACAACTAAAGTAATCGAACAACACAGAAAAAAACACTGATATGGGGTAGACGAATTTAAAATCTGCAAAACCTCCACATTCTAATGACGGAAATCGAAATTTATTCAATCTATCAGTCTGAAACCGAAACTAAAACTATAAAGTAAATATGTCTGGAAATTTAGGACTTTGGTCGCTTTCGTGACTTCTACTGAAAGCTACAGGCGATGTTAAGGGTGTGTATTTAAGTCTGTGGAATATTTCCAAAATATAGACATAACAGCCACCCCTCAATTGTTTGTTAGAGACTGAGCAAGGTAAGATCAGTTTGAGATTAAACGAATTCCTAAATGGCGTCCTGACTGTTTCATTGATTAATTTGCTACAGATTTTGATTTCTTGAGTTCATCCGACGCTAAGAAGAAGACTTAAGGTAGGTAGCAAGATTTTCCTGTTCTTGATATGACTGACAAATGAAAGTGTATAAGTTAATGTAAGTAAGATACACGTATGTAATAATGAAAAGGATTCATTTAGAAGTTCGCAGTAGATAATAACACAAATTTCTTCGGGTTACGCTCTCCGTCAGCCCGGCTTTCCCATTTTATTTTTTTTGGTAGCTTATTTTCACCGTGGCATAATGTTTCTATAGATGTTGTGCTAGTGAAATAAATTCGTCGCTTCTTCCTCTTTGAAGAAGCCCTTGTGCCCACTTTAAGCAAGCTTTTAAACTGACGACGTAAAATAAAAGTGAGTTTGATTATGAAGGTGCCTGTTTTTGTGCGCGAATAAATCAAACGAGTAAAATTATCTACAGTATCATTTTTTTATTCAAGTAAAACTTTAACACGATGGGAAAAAAAGAGTCGCTAATTACGTCATGTAATTTTCTTCGGCGTCTTTATGCGTTCTGTGCGATGCCAGCATTTTGCTACGGTTTTGTATCATTCAGTATTACGCTGGATTACTGTTAGTATCTATGTATGAAAATTCACGGTTTTCAACTTATATTACAATGTTTTGCTAGTGATATTGATTAATTTGCTACAGATTTTGATTTCTTGTGTTCATCCGACGCTAAGAAGAAGACCTAAGGTAGGAAGCATTAAGATTTCCCTGATCTCAATATGACTGACAAATAAAAGTAGATAAGTTGATGTGAGTAAGAAGTACGCATGTATTGATGCAAAGCATTTATTTAGAAGTTCGCAGTAGACGGTAATACAGAGTTCTCAGGGTTAAACTCTCCGTCAGCCTATCTTACTGTATTTTTGTCGGTAGCTTATTTTTACTGTGGCATGTTTGTGTATTTTGCCAGCGAAATAAATTCGTCACTTGTTGCTCTTTTGAGGAGCACTCGTTCCAACTTTAAGCAAGCTTTTAAACTGACGACGAAAAATCAAACATTATGAAGATGTGTTTTCTTGGGAAAATTAATCAAACGAGAATAATTCTCTACAGTACAGTATGATTTGTTTTTTCAATTATAACTGAACAATAATCAGGATGCAAAAAACCAAACTAAGATTTACTACGTCTTTTGCTTTCTCTTTGCGTGGTTAACGTGCCTTGTTAACATCCACAAATCATCAATTATTAATTGTGTCATCATAATTCGCGGTGCCTTCGTGGTTAGCGCGCTCATCTCTGGATCCAGCGGTGCGGGTTCGAGCCCTGGCTTGGGACATTGTGTTGTGTTCTCAGGCAAGACACTTTACTCTCACAATGCCTCTCTCCACTTAGGTGTATAATGAGTACCGGCGAATTTAATGCTGGGGTCTAACCCTGCGATGGACTAGGATTCAGTTCATTCCAGGGAGGAAAGAAAATACTCCTAGTCGCTTCATCCTATAGAAATCGGGATAAGCTCCGGCCTGATGAGCCACTTGGCTCATATGCAGACTTTATCTATAATAATTCCGTTAATTAAATACAAAAGAAAGATTCAATAACCAGCGATGCAGGTGGTTTTAGTCAGTATCTCACTCTTTGATTGTTTTTTTTTTTTTCTTACAAACGCAGCATACAAGTAAAGTAATTGAACAACGTCGAGAAAAAACTGATTTGGGGTAGACGAATTCAAAGCCTGCAAAACCTCCACATTTTAATAGAGAAAACACAATTCCTTCTGTCTATCGTAAGCTAGAACTAGAACAATAAATATATTTGGAAATTTAGGACTTTGGCCGCTTTAGTGGGTTCTACAAAAAGCTACAGGCGATGTTAAAGGGTGTATCTATGTACATAACAGCCATTCCTCAATTGTTTGTCAGAAACTGAGTAAGGTCAGATCCGGTTGAGATGAAGTGAATTCCTAAATGTTTTCCTGACTGTTTCATCGATTAATTTGCTACAGATTTTGCTTTCTTGTCGGCGTTCATCCGACGCTAAGAAGAAGATTTAAGAGTAATTGCCACTAAAAATCAAAGAAATCGTGGCCACGGTCGAAAAATCAATTTTGCCCGTACTTAGCCAGTTTGAAGGCCTAGGTAAGTAACTATACAAAGGGTTCAGAGCCATTTTAAAGTTTTGAAAATTTAAGGTGGCTCTGAACCCTATGAAAGGAATTTTTTTAAACTTTACCAAAAGTTGGCTCTTATCATGCTTATCAAAATTTGATAATATAATAAAACTTCATCGTACTGCGTTTAAATTATAAGCCGCTAAAGCTGTAATTAAGGCTGGTTTTAGCAGATCATACTGTTGCTATGGTAACCTATTGTGTCGCGAAAATGATAATAACGTGTTCACCAATGATTGGGCATACGCAGGTTTTTGATACCATGATTGTGGCATCAATTGACAAAGAGTGGCTATAACGACCCATCAAAATCTAAGTGCTGGAAACTGTTTTGAGCCACCTTAAATCAGCCTTGAAACATTTCATATGACTCATCAGTACTCGTGATCAGCTTAACGTAACGCAACTTTATACAATTTACTGATTTCTCTTATTCATTTCTCAGAGACTATGAAGCGTTTTGTTTTCTTACTACTAACTTTGGCCTTGGTGGCGGCAGTCCCGCAGCACAATCCTCAAGCTCAGGTAAGCGCGTGACCTCCGTTCCTCAAATACCAACTACTTCATTTTTCTGAGTTATTGACTAAAATTGCTTTTCATGCCAATAAACGATTAATTTATTTATTACTTTTACAGGATGAAAACCAAGCCAAAGGCCCTGGTAAGTCTATTAACAGACTTCCCTTAATAGTTGTAACTAGCAGTAGAACAATATAATCATTACATTTTTTAAAAAATGCTTGTAAATTGGTACAATCTATTGTTCCTAATATTTCGAAGAGGTGCTCTGTCAGACATTACTTCCTATAAGATGACGCCCAGGTTATGGACTTTTTGTTCAAGTTATGGTGGTGGGAGTTGACCAAATTATAAACCCTAAAGTTACTTCTATCGGGGTTAAGGTAAACTACTCTATCCAAAGGCTAACTGCTCTTCCATTCGAGCCTTCACAGAACTCAAAAAACTGAGAAAAAGTGAAGAATTTATTGAAGAAACTGAGAAAAAAAATACAAACAAAGTATTGACTGCTGAAAATGCATAGACCTAATTTCTCTTCGCGCAAAAAAGAAACTGCCACTGAATTCAATCGATTGATGTAATTTCAAACAGTTTTAAAGAACACGTTTTCTACATTAGGACAAGAAACTTTGTCAAACCGATTAACGATTAGAAATTGAAGATAGCGAGGAAAATACTGACAAAACGTCACGCTAAGAGAATCGTATCTATTTTGACTGCTAACCACAGAAATGTAAGCTTGTGTTTAACGACACTTAGAAAAAGCGAAGATGTTACTGATTTAATTCATTTCTCAGGCAGGATCTCGGTAAGCAAAATATCTTCAATACTACTCTACCATGAGACTAGAAACTCCACCATTTCGAGACTTAACACAGCTGAAAATTATAGACATTTGGAGAAACTGAGAAAGTTTCTCTAACTTCGCAAACCAAAATAAAGAATAATTCTATATGGTATAGAATTTATTGTCAACAAAAGTTCAAATCTACTCTATAAAAAGAAACTCCACCATGCTGAGACTTCACACAGTTTTAATTGTATGTACTTCAGTCGGCAATACATAATTAAACTGATATTTTTTCTCTTAAGACCAACCTATACCCAAAGAAGATTTTGAGAATGCGAGGGAATTTCGCGACAGGAATTTGCAGACCCTTGAAGAAGGTAAGTCAGGATGATTTAATTTAGCAGACAACGAAAAGTTTCTCAATGACATCTTTTGCAGAGATATTATAAGAGCCCGAATGACAATCACCTCAAGCGAGTTGTGATTAGTTACAGACACAGTAAAATAGTGTAGGTATAGTCTTTACCTCTGTAGACTTGAGCTGGCAGCAATTCGCTACAGTCTGTGGTAGTCAGAATTGGTTCATGCTTACACGGGAAGTTTGGGGAGCACAAGAGAAGCGTAAGAGTTGCTTGAGACGCAGCCGACAGCAACTCTAACTTCCTAAGCTCTACAAACTTGTCAAGTGCATCCATAACTCAATATACGCACGGCTAAAAGTAAAAGCATCAACTAATTCTTTTATAACGTTGCGACATCACCTTAGGCGCATGTTTTATTTGTGATCGGCCTACAAAGTTAAGTTCTCACAATGCACGGTGAAGGAAAACAAAGGAACCTGTTTGCTGGTTAAAAAAACGCCACAATCAGTTGAGCGATGGTTGAGCCAGAACGCTTCAACTGATTTTTAAAATTGTTCATAAAATTTCGCTTCTTTGAGTTAATGAAAATGTAGCCAAAAAAGTCAAAATACTCCATACTCCTTACATTCCCGAAATAACAAAAGGAACTCGCAGCTAAAATCGACAGAAACTTTGCAACTAAAATGAAACTGCCCCATATCTTGAAAAATAAGAGAGTAGCACCATTACCATGGGTACATCTTTGATATTGGACATCTTTGTTATAACTAATTTGACAGCTGTCAAAACAAGGTATCCGCTGACCAGCATCACGTGACCATATCGCGGGCTCAGGCCAAGAACTCATCGAGGTCGCGTGTTTTTTTGCTGACCAGGCACTGAGTTTTCGATTGGATCGCGGGCTCAAGTCAGGTTATTACTCTGCTTGAGAGGGAGGGAGTACATGCATGCAAAGGCAAAATTTAGGCGCAAATTAAACCCTGACGCGTTGTTGACTTTTCTTCCGACATATTCCTTGCGCAATCGTCTCTTGGAAAGTCCCTGATATATTGCGTGCGTTATTTCTTCAATCTTGGGTATACTGATTAGGTATGGTTTGTTAAATGTAATTAGAAAAAAAGTGAAACCACACACTAAACAATCATATGCTCACAATTGATCATTTTTTGAGCTTCTGATCCAGGGAAAATATCCTCTTTTCATTTATGATTAATTCTCTAAACGGGAGCACCGCTTCTAGGCTTTGCTAAATCTATATATTATTTACGCACGGCGGTATGTAAATAGAGATTTTTTACCATTATGGCTAAATAGGAATTAGGTAGGACCAGCGCGCGTTTTACGTTATAATAGTATTGTTACTGTTTGTAATTATTTATTTTTTCAATTATTTTTTTTTCTGGCGTATTTAAATGAATAAATAGGTTTCAATCTCTCCTTAGACGTACCCATAGACGTTGAAAATTCAGGGAAATTTCGCGACAAGGATTTGCAGCCTCTTGAGGAAAGTTAGTATGTTATTTAGCAATACATTTAGTGAACATTACGTACCATTTCACCTCCCTCAGAGATTTCAGAGGCGCGCGCGAAAATCGCTTCCATTGAGTTGAAATAGTTACAGCGATGATGAAATTATCATTATCAAATCATCAAATTAAAGTGTACCAGCTAAGCCGGGAAATCTGGTGGTGATAGCGTCTCAACCCCACCCTGTTCTAGGGAATTTTACAATATTTCATGATAAGTCGGGTTAACACATGTACTCTTGTGAGGAACTTAAGCAAATGTTTGCTTGAAAGTAGCCAGTATTTCAGGCTAAACACATCCTGAATGCAACTTGTAATTATTGGTTTTATTTTACTTTCTCTGTATTTTTTTCTGGATAGTTAAATCAAAAAATAAAATCGGATTTTCTAGACTTTTTCGACACCTCAAATGAATTTTCCGAAAAGAATTTCCAGACTCTTGAAAAAAGTGAGAAAATTATTTAGCAAAACATTCAGTAGACTGATGAGTCTCTCCTGTTTCTCAGCGATACTAAAGCACGCGCGCAAAAATCCCCTATAGGGTAATGAAAGTTGGCTTGTAAGTGAGGCATTAGTTTTGTAATGCGCGCGAGCGCGTGGAGTTACACCGGTCACATGGTAAAATAACTTTTCTGCAGTAAGTCTGGTTTTTACCTCTTTATACCAGGGCCAGCAGTAATTGGGTACTATGTGGCGGTATTAGCATTAATGTTTTTATTCCTTTTTTTTCTGGCATATTAAAAATAAATGAATAAATAAATCAATAAATCAATAAATCAATAAATCAATTGGGATATTTTTACCTTTAGACGCACCCGAAGACGTTTTCGACAATTCAGGGGGATTAACCGAAGAGAATTCCTTGACTCTCGAAAAAAGTGAGTAGATTATTTAGCAATACATTTAGAAGTCAACAAGTAGTCTCTCTTCTTTCTCGGTGGTACTAGAGCGCGCAAAAATCGCTTCCAGTGAGTTGAAATTAGCGCAGCTGCAGCGATAAAGTTCAAAGTTCGAGCACTAAGTGCAAAAATCATTTACTAAAAATCTATTCACAGCGCAGCAAGATTTTGAATACTATTGGAAACATCTCACCGTAATTCATTTTTTTAGGTGGCCCCGCGATTAAAACCCCAAGCATTCTCGGGAAAATTAATGTCAAACCTCGTAAGAATGCTTAATGCGTGTGTTACTGCGTTTTCAACTAACGCGAAACGTCCGTTCTTATTGAAATATGGATAACTTCAAGTTCAATTTTCTCTCGGGGGGCGGGGTGGGGGGTCAGCTTGAGAGCTAAAGCCTCGATAAGATCTTCCTACCTTAATTCAAAATATTACCAGGCTATAAGGTTTTTTTTGGTAACTATATTTTTGCCATTATTGCTCGAATGTTCTGCGACAATCATCTTAATTTATAAAGACGACTTGTAAATACACAAAGGCCTAAGAGCTGAGAGGATGTTGGTCCATTGGATTAAGGCCCGGTTCTCATTTATTCGCGGTATTTTCACTCTATTTTCTAAATCACATTCAAAAGCTTTTCAAAGGACTATGCGTGTATGTTTCAAAGATAAAAAGTACAAATACAGCAGCCCCGTCCAAACAAGGTTTGGATAATTTCGTGGAAATCTGCTGATAGAACACGATTCAAAGCCGAGTTTTACAGTGCGTTCACTGAAACTGGGGCCACCCAGACAATGAAAACCAATCAGATGGCAGAACTGAAACGATAGAATCCAACATTTCCAAATCCAACCAATCAAATATCCTATCTTCAAATCCAGCCAATCAAATGTCCGGTACAAAACATTGAAATCTCAACTTGTTCGTCGTGATGCTTACGCAATTAATAAATTATTAAGCTCAAACCGTTAGTAGTTTCGCGCGCTTGCAAATTTAAGAAGAATTAAATGCTGCCCCACTTTCTATAGGTTGCTTGTTTTAGAAAATACATGGAAAGAAAAGCTGCTTAAGAGTGTCACTCGTAAATATATATCGCCGCTAGAGTGTGTATTGTAGGGTTTGAATATTGTCGCGGCTGTTAAAAAGAAACCCTTCAAATGGTCTCTGAGTAGTTTCGCATCTGTTCAGGTTCGAAAATTGTAAAATTGGAAAGGGATTATTTTCGATGTAACTGAAAGGAGCTGGATGCAAACTTCAAGCAGGATAAACGAAAAGTCAACTTGATACAAAAATGGACTTGTAACCTGAATTCTTTGATCGAAATATCTTCGATTTTTCCATCCAGGGGAGGTTTGGCGCTATCGTCTTTTGTTTTTGCCAGGCTTTGATAGTTTGAATTTTCCATGAAGATGTTATTTCAATTCCATACACCGATAATCCAGAAAGGGAGCTCAAACTCCAAAATGTACAGCTGCTGCGATAGTAAACGCGATGGTTTTTCCGAGAACTGCGTGGTAAATAACCAAAAGCTGTGTAAAAATAGAAACATGCACAGACAACAGGAGCGGAATTTATTCTTTAAAAAATGTCACACTCTGTTATTCTGCGAATTTAAACAACAACAGTAAGAGTGATATTTTGTGTGACCGTACGCTCACAGTGGAAAACGGTCAATCTAATGAATTTATCACGCTTGTCAATGTAAAATCTAAAGTAAAGTAACACAATATTTTCTAAAGCGAAAGTACTAACGGCTTACAGTGAACAAGTTGAAATTTCACTGTTTTGTATCGGACATTTGATTGGCTGGATTTGAAAATGTTGGAATCTATTGTTTCAGTTCTGCCATCTGATTGGTTTTCATTGTCTGGGTGGCCCCGGTTTCAGTAAACGTACTGTAAACCATTTTGCGGTAAGCTGGTTAAAATGGTTGATCAACCTGCCCAATCGAAAACCGGATTTAATCAGTAGGATGCTAGAAAGACCCAACTAACCTATTCAACCGAAATTGGTTGGTCCCAATAGAACACGAGTAAATAGTGGCTCCATCTAACTTCCATTTAGTTGACCTCTCTATTTCTTCACTTTTTCCCAATTATCCATCAATACAAACCAAAAGAGCAAGTGAAGTGAGAGGACACATGCATTTGGTATACCCAGATTACATTTATCGATTGCTTATTTTGTAGGTTACAATAAACGGTTCTAGTTTGCAGCCACCAACTTAATTCCCCAAGGACAAACTCAACTAAATCTATTTCATTTATTTTTCTCTTTAGGAAAAAAACGAAAAAACCGTCGTAGACGTGGTGGGCGTGGAAGTAAGGCTACTTTTTCATACTTTTAAAATGGTCATTTATTATTCCATTTTCTCTTTTCTCGGTTCCTTACTTTTTTCATTCAATATGAAACGTCGAAGGTGTAACTCTAATTCTCATTTCTTACAAATTTAGTGAACAAATTCTGGGTATAGTATACATGTATTACTCAATTCGAGTTCGGCTACGAATCATATTGAAGAGGCCCAGGGTCTAGCTATTCCCTATACTGAAGAAATTCCTGAAGGAAGAAACTTCAGGCGCTATGCGGTTTGTAAGCATTCTACAGTTTCCCCATTTCTCTTGCCACAAAGCTGACTGTCCTAGTCCAGACGGATCCAGACGCACATTTGATCGTGAATATGTAATTTGATCGACGATGATTTCAGAAAGATGTTTACATTACTGAGAGCCCGACGTTGCCAATTTTTTCCCGAAAAATTTCATAATTTCCGCAGCAGGGGGGCTACAGCCGCTCTCCCCCCTCCCGGTTCCCCAGCTCGAAAGCTTATGCTTCAGGCCCTCCATAGAATTAATGGAAGAACAATTTTTTCGTGGCGGTGTGAATCTCTAGGTATAGCCAGCAGCACAATAAAGGGTTTGGAGAAGAATCGAGGAAAATCACTGTGAAAGCTGTGATGAAACGATTTAATGAAATGGTTACACCTGCAACTATCATGAGGGAAAGAGGCACGTAGAAACACAGCAGTTAAATGTAAACGAGAAATGCGTTCATAGCTGACTTTTTCTGCACAAAATGTTCTCGTTAGTTGCCCCTTGTTGTTGATGCATACACTAAAACTGTCTCTGATGGCGTCGAACGAGGAGATAGATTTTCACGTAAACGATTAAGTTTCTAACATGAAGGCTGAAAAAAGTAGCTGATAAGACACCGTAAAGTACGCTTGAATCCCACAGGCAGGAGAAGGCAATAACACCAGAAAGAGCTCAAATAAAAATAACAACGCCAGTGACACGAAACGGCTTCACCACAGCATGGTATCGCAAATGCAACTGAAGAGCAAGCAAGCGCTCGATTCCAATTGCTGTAACAGTAATGAAAGAAGCAACACTCAAAAATGCCGCCACAATGTTGTAAAGTAAAACGACATGTACAGTGTATTTCACTGTTATTAAAATGTTAGCTATAAAGAAAGGCTCCAGAAGCAAGCCAACGGTAAGGTCTGAGACGGCCAGATTTGCGAGTAAGATGCTCGCCGCAGAATGCAACGAAGATGTCTTCCAAATTGTGAACAGAATGGCTGAGTTCCCCAACAGTGTCGTAAGGAAGAGAAAAATGAGGATTACGCCATTTGCAATCCGAAAATTTAGCTCTTCTGGCTCTTGTTAAAAAGATCCGTTAAATCCTGAAGAATTATTTGAAAACGAGGAAAAACCAACCGCCATAGCTGGTAAAGTGTTCTGTCTTTCGAGACGATAATTAACAGGTTTGGTTCTAGTCGTATCGATCGATCTGCTGCGACGGAAAAATAACTTTGATCATGGCAGTTTTTCAATATATATTTATTTAATTATTGCTCGGAAAGTAATATCAATAGCAAAGAAAGCATTTAAACGGGAAGTCTTGAAAAAATTCACCTGTTTTGTTTGTTTGCCTTGGAGGCTGAGATAATCGTTTGTAAACTAGACAAAAGAAATGAAATTAAAGTCAGTTTTACTGAACAGCAAATTGAACAAAATGTCATAGACCCGGTGTTATCGCCCACTTAACATTTCTGTCAGAATAATATCAGCTTAGAAGGAACTAGCAGCAAAAAAGTGTTCTTCTTACCTTCAAACTCTTCAATTTCGTTTGTAAATTACGTTCTACTTGCCTATACTATTGACATTACTGTGAGCCTAGAAATTAAAAAGATCAGAAATAATGAAAAACCACCCTCAAAATCAACTGATTGTATTCCAAGTTATTGTTCTGCAATGGCAGATCAAATAACCAGTCTTGTCATAACTTTGAAAAAGTTTTTTCAATTCGCTATTCAACGTAAGACTGGCTTACAAAATTAATTGCATTTCATTTATAACATTTGTCACGTACCTTTTTATTGATAACAAAAATATTCGACTATATTTCTGACAGACATCGACGTAATGGTCCCTCGTATTAACAATAACATACAAAAGAAACGGAAAGAAGTGGGAAACATTCGAATATTTTTGTTATTAAAAAATGGTACGTGACAAATTTTATGAAAGAATTCCAATTAAGTTTTGTGGTCCCTCAAAATGCAATCACATACAAAAGAAACAGAAAGATGTCATCAACAGCTGTCCGATAGTCGCTCGCAACGAAAACAGATTGTTAGTAAAAACCTCACGAAAACTGAGACCAGGACAGAAACCAAAAAACAAAAAATAGCTGACCCAAAGAAGCGATGAAAGCGTATAAACACCAACAAATTTTCGATAGCATCTCAATATTACGTTTCATTCTGCAATGAAACTTCAACGCAAATTATAAATGCGTTCTGATCTATTTTATCACTCATTGCCATCTCGCTTTGTTACCATATTGAGGAACAGGAAGTTTACTCATTGGGTTCAAGTGAAACTTTTATCTATAAAAATCACGTTTCTTGCATTTCTATATGTTCATTTTTTTTTTTGGAGGGGGCGCGAGGACGTGCCTTATACTTAGCTAAACATATATTTCCTCATGCAATCCACGCTATTCGTCGCTTAATTTTCCCCAGGAAAAAGCGATCAAAGAATTAAAATTTAAGGCAATGGTTGCTCTTTGGTTGTGCGAAGTTTCCGGAACAATCACAACAGCACAATATAGTGTTATGAGAATGAATGTTACCGAGTTGAAAAAGCAAAACATTAGAGAAGCTCACCTCCAACATAGATTTTGACAACAGAAGCATTCAGATAACCCCGGAGAAGCAAACCGAACGTGAGAAATGTGTTGAAGGCAGTTTTGTTCAATCTTTCCACCTTGAAATGTTTATTTTCCTGTGATAGTTAGTGAAAGAGCCGAAGGCGAGGTTAGTAACTGACTTGTAAAAAAGAAAAGAATGCGACGAATAAATACCTAATGCGGACCTCACGCTAGTTCAACGAAAGCTATATTTCGAACTTATCTCAATATTTCTCCTTTGCGTTGGTGAAGATGAAATTTTAGCAGTCTCTTTCTGTTCGGATGGCGCGGCGTGCAGCACAACCGCGAGTCGGTAGAGGGGGCGGCGCTTACATCAAGAATGTCAGTTTACATCGGGAATGCAATAAAAGAGGGAGGGGTAATAAACAAGACACTAGCCTCCCTCCAGGAAGGGGGGGGGGGGGGGGGGGGGAAACGAACTGATTAAATCATTCTTCTTCCGAAGTTGAAGCGTAAGTGTGTACGCAAGCAAGTAAGGCAGGCAGGCAGACAGGAAGGTTGGAAGGACAGACGGACAGAAGGAACTTAGTTTAAGTTATGTGCAACAGTGGTCGGGCTTTTATTTAGAGAAAATTAAGTTACTTGTTGAATCATTTCTAAAAATATTTACACTACCATTACAAATATATACTTTCCCAAAGCCTTCGTTTCGGTTACATGTAACATTTTTTCTTTCAACGATACACATTTTCTTCTACAAATATGTGTCCAATTGACCAAAAATACATCCTTCTATACTTTATAAATGGGCGCAATAACTTTTCAATCTTGGAGCAAAAAGGTATAAAAATAACAACTCCCATTCGAATTTCTGTCTTTGTTGACCTTTTTCACTCTACAATAGAATTCTTTGAGAACGTAAACTTTTTCCACATTTTCGTTATTTTCTTACAATCTAATTATTATAGAAATCGGTCTAAATTATTTCATGCGACTCAATAGTTTTTTAAACATACAATACTCTGTTTTTCTTTCGTTCAGCATATTCTAAACGGATAGAATAACCTTAATAATTATTTCAAATTAAACTCTTTTCATTTGCAATCAGTGCAAATCATGTCAGTAGCAAACTAGTGTTAAATAAATTAATGTGGTTTTGAGTTCATCAATACCGTACAATAGCGGTTTATGTTTTCACTTGTGTCGAAACGTAATTGGTTTTGCATCATACGCTACACGGTTGGCTTAAAAAACTCGCGCCACGTTTTCATCCAATCACAAGTCAAACCAAAACCAATCGCGACTCGCGCAGGCACGTTTTCCCGGGCTTTGCGTCAGCTACATGCATTTACTACGGGTTTTGATTGGTTCATTGACTTCATTGGATTTTCCGTGTCTTTTGCAATTAACCAGGGTGATAAACTAAGTTTTGGTTTTACGACACTCAAATGACAACCGCTCTAGTGAGCTGCTTTGAAGGCCGAATGTACAGAGTTACTTCCTTGAGAAAATAGGTGTTTTGCATAACTTTGTTTTAGATGTACGTGCATGATAATGTAATGTCAGTGAAAACAACCTCGTTCCCAGGTTCTCTTTCCCCCTCCTGGAAACGAGGTTCAGTAAGAAGGTTTCTGCAGACGAGAGGCCTGCAATTCAACCCCAAAACTTCCATATTGATGACCCCCTCTAAGAAGATCAGAGCAGTTTCTGATGATTGCCTGTTGCACGCTAGGGAGAGTAAGCAAGCCATGACGACGACGGCAATGAAAACGCCACCAAACAAAATATCTAATGAGCGAAACAATGACTGTGCACCTGCGTTATAAATCCTTGTACATAATTTTTTTGACGTCCTCTGAAAAGCAATAACGTGAAAAGACCAAGTTCTGCGTAGTCTGAGTAACGGACTGAAGGCTGTCATTACATATTAAGCCTTAGCACTTTTCAGAGCCACTGGCGTACTGAACAGATCTAGACAATTGCGAATTTCGCTGGTAAAATTTAAATTCATTTTTGACTGGGCGTAGTCTTCGTTGCTTAGGCTCCCTGCTTTTGAATTCACGCTGGCATAAACGTGACAACAAAACAACCATTCACACACTAAACATGGATCTATGTGGAGATGCGCTTCGGTATAAAAGACTTTTTCGATCGATGCTCAGACTTTCGAGCAGAAGGATTATTCAGTGGGTATAGAGACACCTCTCTTTCATTACGATGTCCCATATCCAGGCCTACTTCAGGCCAACAGTAACAATTTAAATGCATTTTTTATATTTTTTTGTTTTTGTTTTTTCTTCTCGCTTATCAGTATCTCGGCAATTCGTGGGGCTCCTAGGGATGGGGGGAAGACGGCGAGGAAACGGGCCAGACACGAAAAAGAAACTCTACGGGAAGTTGTGAATAAAGTCTGCCTCACCTCAAATATTCTCACCAACGAACTTACTCCTAATTTCCTTTGCACGCATCCAAAACGATATAAAAATATCCGGCTAATTTAAGTTTCTCCCTTTCTCGTAACTTTGTTTCCTTTTCAGGTGTCCACCAACCCTCGCCCCACCCCCGTCAGGGATCCAGTAGTGCTCTTGTCGTTCGCTATGTAAACGGAACAAGCTTTTTTTCAGTTCAACTATTAAGTTTGTTCATGGGTAACCTAACTTCCGGGGGGACTCCCGTATAAAAAGGCCAGGAGTGCTCGTCGGAAATTTTGAAAAGAACCCCTAAGAGGTAACAATATCTTGTTTTGTGGGCATGGCTTGAAACTTTTCACCGCTAAGAGGCACCAATTCTGAGACAAAATCAAAAGTCAGTTGATTTTCAAATATCTCTTGTTTCGGTTCAATATCCTAAAAGGTACCGTAAAAGCACCTGCTGCGGACCTTTCGAAGCTGAACACCCTAAGAGGTACCAAACCGTTTTTTTAACCCCTAAAAGGCACGACGAGCACCCCCCGGATGGGAGTGGCCCCGGAACCTGAAGGTCGGCACGCACAAGGGGATTGCAACTAGTCGCGGGGACAATTCCCATCATGTGAACTAGCCATTTTTACCATAAAATCTAGTCGTAGGGACTAAAATTTGGACCCTGCGACTAGTCGCACGAATTCAAACTGGTTTGAATTTTTGGGTCAAGTCGCCTGCGACTTGTTCCTCAAAACGCTTCGTGTGAAGTGTTCGTGGGACAAGACCCTGCGACCAGTCCCTTCGTGTGAACTCTCAGGGGACTAGTTGCAGGGAGTAGTCCCCTCGTGTGTGCCGACCTTAACAACTTGCCGACGAGCTGGAAAATGTCTCTTTCGGCGAAGTTGCATCTTCCGAAAATCTAACAGGTACGAGAGTTAGTCCACCGTTAAGGCGTTATTCCTAAGGTAATACCTCCATCTCAAGTTATTAGTAGGTCACTCCTAGTTGAGAAAATCTCAGGAGGGCCTAAATATAGCAAATCTTGTGACGTAAATTTTGCTCACGTAGTCAGCCCAAAAACATTTACACTCATTTTAATCCTTCACGAAAGCATCCTCGCAACGCGCGTGGTAGCATCCGCGGGAGAACTGGGTACTATCTTTAAAATAACTTGAGAAGTATTGCCTTGGGAATAAGGCTGAAATGAGTGATTGATCCTGATTCATCCTGAGGATGAATGAGCGATTCATCCTCTTTTGGAAGAACTGAATTCTCAGCCACCTGACCAAACATCTGCCGTACATTTCCGATTAACTTTCCGTTAATCCTTTGGGAGGACTCCGCCATAAGAGCTTTTCAAGAAAGTCAAGGCATTCCTCGACTAACCTAGGGTAAACGAAGTTTCATGAGGCAGAACTTACGAAAACGTTCTCTGAAGTTTAGCGCCTCGTCACAGACATCACAGTTCCTCTCGCTTCAGTCCAGTCTTGCGCGGCACTTTAGCTGTCCCATTGCTTTAACACTTGCACACAATCGTCGCGTTTCATTGTTTTAAAAACACTTAAGAGCACGTCGACCGTCGAACCGTCTCTCTGGCCCCATTCCTCAAGCGTTCTCTGAGTGGCTTCCTCTGGACAGAGCTCCATGTTTTTGACCTCATTTGCAGTGAAGCCGAGATGTCCCGCCAGCGTTACCCAGTTTTTGCTTGATTTGGGGTTGAGAAGTCTTCCCAACTCAATGAACACATTCGAGGGAAGATCACGAACCAAGGTCTTATCTGCGAGATAATAACAGACACCAATGGCAATTTATTACTGGATTTTGGCCAAAAAGGTTGTCAAAATTTCGGCTCATGATCAGTCATCGAACGAGCGAACGCCGAAAAAACACAAGGATAAATGGTTGTGGTATACGCAAGCTAACATGCCAGTCTATAAGGTTAAAGCATTTTGCAGCTCAAGGATCGAAGGAGCTTCATGCCTCGTTACAGGCGACACGTGCGTGACCAGAAATATCGTTACTACCCCTGGAATGTTTTTCTAAGATTTGCTACAAAATTAGTCGGTGGCATCCTTGATTGGACAGATGCAATGTTAAAGAATAAAAAAGACTGGAAAGCAGACCTTACCAGGCATACTAACCATTTTGGAACTCTGAGCTTCGATTCGTTTGGTCAGGTACTGACCAAACGAGTCGCAGCCTCTAACGACAAGAATGACAGACAAACCACCAGAACACTGCGTTTTATGCAACGTTACAGACATGCGCAGCTGTCGAAAAAACAATTCTTCTGGCCAGCAGTTGTTCTCAATCTGAATAAGATTACACCTGGGAAATCTAAAAGATCACGTGCGACACGCAATAACTCGCGCGTGTTTCTTTTCACTCTACGAGAGGAACGCGGAAGTAACACGTTAAACTACATTCACAATCAACAGATTGATGCTCACTTTTTCCATTTCCAATGCTGACGCCCTGTAACGAGCCGCTACTTCCCTGGGAGTCAGAGTCTCGTTGCTGTCCACTGGACTTCGCGTTATTGGTGCGCCTGCCTCTTAAACCGTGAGATGAACGCGCGTGGGCGGGTGTCTCTGAAGTCGTTTGAGGAACTATGTCATACTTGGGTTCTTCTCTTCCTAAAAATAAGAAGCAAGTTAAAACATAACTCCTTTTCACAGGGTTTGTTTCTTGATGGCCTTTTTCGCGGGCGTTACTTCGTGGTCACGCAACGCTCGTATCGGGGAAAATATTGCGTGGCAGACTCAAGTAACGGTCCCGCGGGAAAACGTTTTGTTCTGAGCAGCTGGTTTTGTTACGTCATAAGTGTAATGCAAAGCCCCGGGCACACAATTGAAGGCGTAATGTTTTCACCGGGCCGTATGTTGGAACAGTTGCGCGTAAGTGGTCTAGCAAAGCCATGAGCTATTCTCGCACCTCTTGGATAACAAATCTTGGACCGCAAACACGATAGTTTCTCTTCATTGCTTTGATTTTTTTCCTCACAGAGCAATAGTTTTAGCTACTTGCGGTTCAGGGCGACAACAAAGGTCACAGTTTTGTAAATCTAAACATTAGGTCTGGGTGGTTCGAAAGGTGGATAATGCTATACAGTGGATGAATCACTGTCCAGTGGATAGTGAGGTTTATCCGTCGGATAGTGCTTAATCCGGTGGATAGCGTTATCCAGCCTTAGAACAACCAGGGTGAGAACTTGCTTCGAAGTCAACATATGTTGTATGGATTATGGCTGCATGTTGCCTCATCGACCAAATCTGTTGCCAGCGACGTCGCAGCTTGTTCACAAGTCTTAAGGAGTATAAGGAATCATAAACGAAACACTTTTGAGTTCAATTCTGCTCTACGTACCTGCAGGATCATTGACTATGATTCTCTCATCACAACGCCTCCTCAACAAGCAAAATATGGCGACTGCAATACCAGAAACTACGAGAATGGCGACAGAAATTCCAATGATGTAGCTCATTTTATTGTTTTTTTCCGTCTCCAGTGGCCCGAGCGAACTTCCTCCATTTGTTGGCCCGGAAGCCGTGAGAGGAACTGCAAAAGATGGATTAAAATAGTATAAGAAAGTGTCTTCAACCGAGAATGACCCGAAAGGTCTTTGACGTTACTTCAGTACGCTCTGCGATTGGTTTAAAGATTCGCACCAACTACTCAACCAATCAAAAAAAAAAAGATCAAAAGCCAAGCGCGATCGAGTCATTGTTTTCCCGCGCTTGGTGTTGTTCACGTCACACTCATAAGTTCCCATTGTAATATTGATTGGCCGTTGCTTTGAAAAAAATATCATGCGTCGCGCATGTGTTCCTCGCACGCGGCATGCACGAAACGAGGATGTCAGGCAAAGGTCGTAAACAACCTGGGACTGATCGTTTAGGTAATTTAGAATTCAAGTGAATTATGATTTCAGCTTTGTAACTTTTCGGTGAGGATTGATGACAACATTTTTATGATTCCGCTTTAAGTTTAAATAATGATAGCCTGCGCTGGTTGTCATGGCGGTGTCACGACAGCTACCTAACGGAGGAGGAAAAATAACTAAGGTAAAAAATCAGTCCGGGTTCGATCACTTTCGAAGAGTTGAAGAATTTTCCTGATTATTATTTTCTTACCAAAGAAAGCAAACGATTCAAGCAGCATAATCCGAACGCTGTCCGAAAACAATGTCGCGTTTTCCGAAGACTGACGAGTATTGTCGAAAATGTACGATTACTGATTTACAAAGATAATTGTGAAAAATCATGTTTTTATAAACAATTATTGGATGAGGTTTTTGTGACATCTAGAATAATCAAGGTCGGGGTAGGGGTTATCACCTACCGAGACCTTGATTATTCTGGATATCACAGAAACCGAATCTAATAATTGTTTTATTATACGTTGAACGAAAAAATGGAAGTCGTGTTTTTGCTTCTTCACTGACGGTTAGCAACACAAAGCGCGCGAACTTGACACGATTACCCTTAGGCCCAGTTCAGACATCGTGCCTTTGCCGTGCCGAACTAAATTCAGGAATTATGTTCGACAAAAGCACGGCAGAAGCACGGCGTCTGAATCAAACTTTTGAATTAAGTTCGGCAAGCAATTAAGTTCGACAAGCTCTGCCGTGCTACACGACTCTGGCACGGCAGTGATTCAAACGCCGTGCTTCTGCCGCGTTAAACAAAATTCATAATTATATTAATGTATTTGGCGAGATTGCGTTCCCACGGGGAGTTAGGAGGACAATTGTTACGAGGCATCAGTATATCCAGAATTTGGTTCGACTCTGGCACGACGTCTGAATCAGAGTTGTTTTCCAGCCGTGCTACAGTCAAATCTAATTGCAATTTAGTTCGGCACGACAGAAGCACGACGTCTGAACTGGGCCTTAGAAATCATGTACTGCGGTCATACATGACATGATTATTATATAATCTGCAGCTAGATGACGTCACAGGCGTTGATTTCGAAAATTCACTGTACGCTTTCGGCCAATCAGAAGAGAGATAGTGAGTTCAATGTGTAATAAATCTCTGTACATGGTTAATAACAACTCCCTTACCAGTGGGAACGGTTTTTGATGTCTGGATTTTACTTTGAGTAATATTTGCTCGTGAACAGATAGTATTGTGTGACGCGGTGCACTCTTCTTCGATACCAGTACCATCACATTTCGAGCAAGGAGTACATGGCTCATTAAGGCTGACTTTATCCGAGAAGGTACCCTACACGTACGTAGTGAGAAAATATATATAAATTAATTGCTTTACCATGTCAAACTTCAAGTATCTAAGATCCTGACCGTAACGTTTGGGACACTTGCTGTTCAATAATAGCAGAAGTGCTATTTTCTCTCTCCTCCCAGACATTGTTGGGTCTTAGAGTTATGGTTACCCTAACCCTTACCCTAACCCTAGGTCGGACACTGTTCAGGGGGTGAGGGGGAAAGACCATTTTGTAGAGCTATTTTTGTGAGTGTAAATAACTGTTTACTTGTTTAATATCCCTATAGGCGTACGGACCCCTACGGACTTGGGGATGGGGGAGGGGGGAGGGGGGGTTTGACCTTCTTGCCCGAAAAAAATTCGCGATGCCCGAATGCGTTAATGTTGAAATCGGGATGCAAACGCAGTCAAATTGCATGGAAAACAAAATCGTTCACATTTCTTACATCTAATGAAACTGCTATGATTTCAAAAATAGTTATATTCAAAGCCTGCAGACTTAATGACAGCTATCAGTTATCTCAATTTTTGTCAATTTTTGCCTGAATTTTTGTCATTTTTTACGTGAAAAATTACATAATTTCCGTAGCTGATGAACTGCAGCCCCCCCCCCCTCTACCCACCACTCCTAGGTCATGCGTTAATGAATATTCCACACCAAAAAGGAGAAATGTATTGCTAGCATACAAACCTGAGGACATGGTTGACACTTAGTGTTGGATGTCTGCCTACACGGGGACAACACCCCTTCCCCGACAGCACACTTGCTACAATCCATGCAATACAAGACAGCTGGGTCATGGTACTTCCCCGGCTCACAACCACATTCTCTGTTACGACTCGGCTTGCAAGACTCCAGTGCAACCTGGGATGGGCCACACTTCTTACAGGGATCGCATTCAGTGCTGTTGTTCTTTTTATCCATGAATGTTTCCCGCTGTGGAAGAAAAACGAAATAAAAAGACATGAATAACATGACTATCGGTATTCATTCTTGATCTTAGAGGACAATAACTCAAGGAAAATAATATGTAACAAGCAAATGACACAGACAAGCACACTATAACTAAACGAAAAATTAAGAACTGGTCAAAGTCAAACAATATGGTAGAGATGATCTGTAAAAGGGCAACAAGTCCCATACAAAAACAAAGCATACAACAAATCCTCACTCAAGAAAAACAGTGATCAAAATATATCGCTCCAAATTTTTTTGGCCATAAGTATGGCCCATAGCAAAGTATTAGGTAATAATTTAAAACCAATAAAAAAAGATAAAGAAAAGAAAATGAACTACTGTAATTTATTAAAGAAATAGGCCATTTTCAAGTTGCCTTTTGCCTCTCTGTCAAAACGCGTCTTAATGCAAATCCAGTCGTATGGAAATGTGTACCCCCTACAGGTTTATTTTCATGGATATCACACTCATTTTCATATGAAAGGTTTTGAAACAGAGCCACAAGGTAACTCGGAAACAGTCTATAGGGAATCTTACTGGGCATGGCTCACAAAAGGAACTTCCTTTGCTTTCGTTGCACCGATGTTTTAGGAAAGTGCCCACTGGACAGAGTTGGCAACAGAAGTCTTTGCCATCAAAATAATCTTTAGGGCAGTGGAGCGCAAACATCGTACCCAGAAGGGTGAAAACTGTGAACACAATCTAAAACAATGGAAAAAGAGAAGTGCATTAGACAGTCAATCATTATCAATAGCAACAAATGCTGGGATGAACGAAATAATCAGAGCCTGAGGACAAAACGTGTTGCCGGTGCAAAAAAGGCGGGAAAATACGCCTAAACCAGCTTGCATCCCCGCGCTATCTTTGCTTTGATTGGCTAAAAGCTACAGCGCAAGATAGGAGTGTTGTAAAAAATGATACTTTGATCTTCGCTCTTTAAAACTGCTTTATACTGACAGGTCATTATTGTCAAACTGACTCGTTGAAAAATACAGTCACTTGCGCCACTTACAATACTAACACTTACATTAATTACTTACATTACTTTAATACGATCACTTACTCTACTTTCAATGTAACACGATCAATTGCACTACTAACAAATATAATACAATTACTTCTTACTTCAGCGCTACATACAATTCTTGCACAGCAAATAAATTACTACACCATGTTTAATTGTAACGCATAAATTTCAGTAACTTGAATTGCTACTTTGAGCTGGTGACAATATACAGTCAGTATACATGTGCCATTCTTCTTTTCCTTTTGTTTCTATTTTCGTTTTCGGGGACTGGGATCAAATTATCAAGAAATTACAAAAACCGCAACAGAGGCTTCAACTTTTTTTAAAGCGACTGGAGTTGTATTTTGTTCTATTTAATAGATATGTTTTAAATACAGTAAGAAATTGTTTAGTATTGGAGAACATTTTTTCTCCCTACATAACCTGAACACACTAATTATTATTTTTGTTGTTGTTTTAATTAATCAAACTATACTCTATTTTATAACACGTTTTGAAAGAACGCTGATAACGAAAATTTTGCAACACGCAAAGGGAATAATGAGGTCTGACATTTTTGGCGGTTTGAACCCTCTAAAATCCCATTTGCTGTGAAAACGATGAATTAATACAAGTACAAACTTCATTTATTCAAACCAAGCATCAATGAAATCCTTAATAATGGTTGTGGACAAATACAATTTTTAATATATAAACAATTAAGAACTATTCAAAACATATGAATGCTCAAACTAGCTTAACTTAGAATTTTTAGCAAACATGCGATTCTTTTACACCTGTATTACACTATCTGTATTAGTCTTCTTAAACATTCTGTCCTTTTTTGCTGAGTTAATGGCAACTTAAATTACGCTAATTCACATACATTGAATCAGTATCATAATTGCTCGCAAAATCCCTCTAGAATATAACCGTGATGTCTATTTACACTGAATTTTGCCTTGGACACAAAAGGTTACATAGCTATAATCTTTCTTTTAAAACGTTTAGTAAATTTCATTCTCCCATCTTTTGCGCAAATCTTAAATTGAACTACAAAATAAAACAGCTCTACTCAACTTTCAAGTTGAGCCAGGACGAGAGCTCATTATGTTGCCAAATTTGCGTGAGAGTTTACTCATATAAGTTTTGTAGCGCATCTGCATAGCGAGAAATGGTGTAGTTATCGGAGTCAATATTTCTACATTTCAAACAAGGACAACACAACGGAGCAACAGACATATCTTTTTAGCCATTGTACTGCTTTGTGTGACACCCGCTCCCCGGCTTCCACGGTCGCAAAAACTTGCCACAATTCGTATATAGCGATTCAACATTTGAAAGGCTTTCACTTTAAATCGAGCTTGTGAGAAGAGCCAAACGGTACAACACTGGTGAAAACTGTGGCAAAACGCAACTAGATGAAATTCACTGAGATTTCGTCTAATATATTATAATATATTATACTGAGGCGGAAAGAAGCTGCTAAATAATTTCCATCTAAGTGATTTATGCTTATGGATTGCTCGCAAAAGTTGTGCTGGATGCTTTTCGTTTCTCGTGTTCTCGCTATTCGCTGAATGGGTGTATTTTAGTCGAATTCAACTCGTTTTCTCGTTACCTTTATTTGTCATTAGCAAGTACATGAATTTAGGACGTATAATTTGTCTTCATGCTTGCATGTCTAAGATTCCCTGGTTACGTTCACACCCTGAGTAAATTCACCAACAGCATTTACATGTAAGTACACGGCAGAATCTTCAAGTGAACAGCTAGAAAAAGCTACAGAACTCTTAGATTACTCTCTTACTGCAGTAAGTTGTATATCATGCTGGAGCTGACGAATTATAAGTATCTCCCTACGTCTTCTTACAGTCATGTAGTATTAAAAGTCATGGGTGTTTGCAGGGGCCTGTTAACGCTGACAAGAAACCTTCCCTTAGTCTCTCTGCGAGTCTTATCACTCGAAGAAAGTTCTAACAATTATCTTAAAAGCCAACGTTGCTTTAAGTTTTAACTTCAGATGAATTTAGATCACAACAAAACGAAACGAAAAGGAGTACAGTATTTATTCCCTTAGGTATTGAAGCAAAGATCTATCTGGCAAATTGCCTTCTGTCACCTTTATCAGCCAAAAACAACGTTTGATTGGGTCAAGGTATAGAATCTCTCTTCACTGTAAGAGACTAAATAAATAAACGACCTTTCGTTCGCCTGTTTAAATCTGTCATTACCATGAAAACTGAATTTAGAATAAACTGGATACTTCAAAGCCAATAAAATGAAAACAATGTGCTCTATTATAGGCAGTTATAGTACAATAAACTGTTGACTTTTATAGCAACATCATCAGTTTCCGACCCTTAAATTAACAAACATTATTGTTCAGCTTACCGGCGATAAAACGCAGAGATATAAGAAGAATATAACAATATTTACTCCAGTCTGCGGACATCAATGGAAGACGGTTAACTAACAAGGTGCAATATGCCAATTCAAGACTATTTGCTTTAAATCAAGCCTGCAGAATTGTTGCATGCCACAAAAAGTGTTAAGCCAAACAACGCGTATTTTGTGAACATGCAGAAATAATGTCAATGATATGGTAAACTGAAGTAGTAAAAACTAAAAGATATATTAATATGCCGAGAGAAAACTATTTAAAAACGAACCAGATCGGATCAGATGATTCAGGCGGTCTTAAATAGTTTCTCAAGCTAAAGAGAACCCGTGCAAATATCTCAGTAGCATTAGTCTAACTAGAAAGCGTTTTGTCTAAATCTTCATAAACTAAACAATTTATAAGGTCATTTCACAAAATGTTTTCTTCAACTATTCACATAGCCGGAAAGGACTGAAGTAACAAAGGACCCAGTTGAAAGCTAAACGGTAAAGAAAAAAATAAGTGTACGAGAATTTCTTCCCGGACGTTCAATTCCTTCACCCATAGCATTGTTGTTGAATGAAGACGGGGAAGAAAAAAAATGTAAATGAACGGTTTTTGCAGCTAAACTACCCGTCGTCAACTTACCAGGGTAAATTGCCATGTTGACGAACTTAGTTTCAAGTACACAAGCAGCAAAAGTTACAGTCCTGAACGAAAACTTCGTTCAGGAACACGGCGAAGGAAAAACTAGACAGAACTGACCTACATACATTCTGTATACCTCGTGAAAACCTTTATAAATGAAACAGTTCATTGTTGAAGTACTTTTAATCACGAATTAAAAAAACCCTGATCCCTGTAATGGTGATGGAGAAATGAAATGGAGCCCTAGACAAGAAAATAATGTATTTTGAAGAAGAAGAGTTTGTCTTATATAATAAATCCACTTTGTAAACAATTTGTTGAAGACACACAGAAAAGCGAAGCCAACAAATAAATCGTAGCTACTTTATATTTTATGATTGTGCAGTGGACTGACTTCTTTTGATATCTAGGAACTTCTTTATGATGTGATAATACAACGAACTACAAAGCTTTCTGTAAAGCATTTTAGAAACCGGTTCACTTGCGAATAAAAATTATGGCTTGTGAAAATGTAGGTAAGTAGTAGTGATAGCTCATTTTGGTAATTCGAAATCTTGGTCTCTGAAAATACACTGTACAGTATATCTAAAAATTGATTAAAATGGCTTTTGAATGAAGTTGCTTTATTATTATATGTTTATTATAAAAGCATAGAAAGGTTTCTTCGCTCTGTGTGAGTCAGTCCATTGTGCCAAAACTCTTAAACGCGGATTTGAAAAGCGCACGAATTCTAAATCACACTTCAACTGAATGCTTCCTAGTTGGACACTATTACTGTTACTCGGCAGTCTTGTGGCTTCGAATAACTACTACAGCTAGAGCAGGATCACTTTTTTTAAAAATCCATGAAGAGTTGAATGGTTTAACGAGAAGTTAACAAAGCGACATGCATCACGAAAGCTTTGATAACATCATTATCACAAATAGTGATTGAAATGTCGAAACAAGCTTTTGATTACAAAAAGAAGCGAAAGTAAACTACGGCCTTTCGAGGTCACCTTGACTCCATTACCAAGTAGAGAGAGAAAAAAAAATAACGGTTGAGATTTGTAGTGTGAAAAGTGAAAGAAACAAACTACGTCAAGAAAAAAGATCTGCTTGAAAGCAAGATGTTTTATCAACGATTGTACATAAAGGATAAAGTTGCAATAAAATAATAATAATAATAAAAAAACATGTTGACAGTTATTTTCGAAGCGCAGGGAAATGTTCCAACGAGCCTTTACTCGTCAGTTCATGTTTTACCAGAACTGTCAAGCTATTTAACTTCATATCATATTTGTTGCAGCAACATATAAACGATTTGACTTAACCTTTTAACTTCTTTATTTTAATTAGGCAGTAATTTCATGTTGTTGTCTCTTCGTGAGGTTTTAGAAAGTCGCACACTTAAATTGTAAATTGAACATTTTTCTTAATAAACTTTCCTTATTGCTGGAGCTATAACTAAAATTTTATCAGGGATTTTAAAGGCTTGAGGAAAGAAGCCAACAAAACATTTAAAACATATCGGGAACACAAGCACTACACTGGGTTTGCAAAAAAAAAAATGTTTCGAAACTCGAAACTGCAGGCAAATCGTAAGCAGCCCTTTTCCCCTTGAAAATGAAACCAAAAATCCGGCAGAGTTCACGTTTCATTGAGATTCATTAGAGAAGTAATCTGAAGAAAATTTCGTTTGGAGCTAAACCCTATAAGGTTTCGCAATATCCCAGTGTCTTCGATTACTGGCAAATTTTACGAAGAGCTATTCAGTGCTTTTTCGTTCTACAATAAAAATTGCTGTATTGCAAAGGTAATTGGAAGGCATATCAATTGAAAGATTGCTTATTTTTACACAGCAACAGCGAAAAATGTTCGACTTAAAATTCGTGACTGATTTTTGAGATTAACCCAATATAAATCCTTGACTTTATCCCACTTGTGTTGAGATTAACACCGTAAGCTTTGCGATAGCAGACGCCTAATTCGGTATTTAAGTCCCCATATTATCTGCCGATTGACGAACTGTATTGAAGGGTTAAACTGAAAACAAGCAGGGAAACATGATTTTGGAGAAACGTGTTATTTGTTACCAGTATTTGAAGTACTTTTAATGTTAAGAATATGTGCGTATTGCTCTAAAACGTAACGTGGGTTTAGTGCAAGGCAACTGATTGCCGCAAACCAAACTAAACTAAGAGATCTTTTACATAGTGCATGAAAATAATTATTATACGGCGCGATATTGATAATCGAAAATTGTTTTGAAATTTATCGCTTTCTACGGTGTATATTTTGACATAAGAAAAACTGGATTCTCAAGGCAAGAGGATCGTTTTTCCGTTTTTAAATGTTTCATTCGAAAAGAACCACGCTTAAGAAGAGATTGTTTTAATACGCTTGTTGCATTTACGAGTCCAGTGAACGAGCGACCTTTCCGAATTTACATTCAAAATACACGTGTGTCGACAGATTTTAAGTCGAATATAAGAAAAACAAAGTTTTGAAGATGGTACTTTTTTATTGAAAATAGAGACAATCGCGTTCTGTGTATCGATAATTCTCGTATTTTTATACCCAACTGAGAAATACGGTTGGGGGCTAAACGATGTTTTGTCAAAGTAAAGTCATTGCTATTGTCTTATCATTAACAGGATGGCTAAACTTTTTCTGATGCAATGGTGGCGATTATTACCGATGTAAAAAATCGAAACGAATCTGATCTAAAACAAACCATAAGATGAATAAAAATATATGCCCGGAAATCTCCTGAACAGGAATCTATATTATGCTTAACTATTTCTAATTTGTCGAAATACGTACTCTTGCTTTCTCGTGTATTTGATAGAGAATCAGTTTACTGTATTTTCAGTTCCGTTACAAAGTGTTCGGCTAGCGTGCTTTGCCTCCCGATTAAATAGTCGAGCTAACCTTGTAGACGTTAGTTACTTTCACTGATAATTTTACAGCAAAAGAAGCCGACGAACATGTCCCGGGCAATCAGAGTGTTGAGTTGAATCGGCCTTGAATATTCCTGACTGAACGATTCTCAGTTAACTTAACAGTCAACGATGAAATGATTCACTAATACTCCAAAAGTTTGATTCAAAATAAACTTCAAGCCTAATATACTCTTTATTGATCTTTTAGTGAAATCCTCTCTAAGTTAAAACCGTCCCCAAGCACAGCACAGAACGAATTTGGTAGAGACGTCGAGAAATAATCACAAATCTTTCCCTGGGGTCGTCGCAATAGAGTTTCCAGAGCAAGAACTTTCATGTAGGATTGCGAGCGTTTGAGACGGTTTGCCTGTTCGGGGTGCCTCTCTGAAATAGAGTTTACTCGAGGCCGACGTCAACCGCCCTAGAATTGCTGACTAAGGAGATTCCTTCGTACCAAATTGACTCCATCGTGTAAATTCAAATGTGTATCCACTAAAATAGCGAGGAAACATTTCATTTTAAGCTTCAGGAGTGGTAAATTTTAGTTGCTAATTTCTTCCTTAAACGGGCAAGTTGAAACTTGCCTTGTCGAGCAAAGTTAGGTTTATGGCTGACCATAGCGGCTGAGACATATGTCTCTTTTGTGCTCAACTGTCTCAGTTTCCGTCACTAAACCACAGGGAAAAATATAGCATAGTTTGACCTTGTAAAATTTCCCCGAAGAGTCAAAGATTTTATACGTAAACAGGGAATATTGTGGTCCAAACCGACGGCCATAAACAGTAAAAGCTACTTAAAATGTCACTGATTCCTCCAGTGTACACGAGGCTTTTGGCCCACCAAAACATGCTTAGCAAATTAGCGCGCGCGGAAAATTATCGAATCTTCTAATAGTTAGCTATGCATTTCGTAAGCAAACAACAAAAGTTTACTTTGCATGTGTCGTGAAGGTAAACCATTGAAATGCAGGTGTACTTACCAAGGTTTTAAACTCCATTTCGTCAGTTTCGTCCCTCGAAAGCGAGCCTGTAACGTATCTAGCACTGAAAGTCTTCCGCCGGTCCGTGCCACGTCCAATCGCGTAACGCTTGATTGGTCAAAGATCAATTAACCAATAACAAAACCCATGATACACATGCATATCCAGATGTCAATAAACCGGGCGCAAGCTCTTTCAACCCAAACTCGCCGTTACAAAACTCAGAGCGGAAAAGATCGTTGCTTTTCGAGCACGACGGCCGCATTGCCGAAGAATTTTCAATTTGAGACGAGGTGGCTCGGCGTTAATTCAATCATTCGGAAAAAAGGACGCTTCTCCGGGATGAAAAGAACGTTGTTTTGACAGGACAAGCCCAGGCAAGTCCGCCTGTTCTCTTTTGTGATTGGTGGAAATCAACACTAGTGTGACAAAACGTAAGCGAGCAGCCCCCCAAGGGATTACACAGTGGCGCCAGAATTTACATTTGTACAGGTTTATTTCGAAACAGAAAACAACATTCTTTGGGAATTTTAAATTCTCGCACGACGTTTGACGAATACAACCATGAAAGAATGAAATTCTGATTTCGCAAACATGATCGTTTATAGACTGTCTTTCGAGGCGATGAGATTCATTGAAATCTTAAAGTGGTTGTCAGTGTGCATTCTAAAATTAACAGAGAGTAATGGAGTCTTCAAACACGCAGAAAATGCTTGCTATTTCTCTGTAAATTTCATTCCAGCATAAGGTATCGTTCGGATCGGCGTCAGACTCAAAATTCAATCATAGGACAATTATTATTTTCCCACAGTCTATGTGTGCACTGTCGGGTGACTGACACGAACTCGATGAACAGATGTTTTTTGTCTTTCGCGTGACCTGTTGCAAAATGGATTACAAATCAAGAGATATTGCTTTTGTTTTTCTGTCTGAAGCAAATTGCGGCGGTGTGAGTATGAAGTTTACAATTTCTAAGTGTAAAATTTAACGATCTTTATTTTCTATTGAATTTTTTTTCTTTGAAATATACTCCTCGTTGAAAGTAAGATCCATTCCTACAAGGTGAATTTAGCTTATAATTTGTGGTGACTCGAAAATTGAACTGACAGAGGACAGGACTAAGAGTTTTGATATCACTGAACTGAACATGACTAACCATTTTCATTGCCAAACAGCGATTTATAACATTACGAAAAGCATAAGAGTTTATAACGAGTTGCTGTCGAGGCCAAAATATTGCGGACCTAATTTTTTCTCACCCGCGGATTTTCGGGAACCTACGGGCAAAACCTATCGTTCGCGTTGCACTGAAAGGCATCGGCTGTCGATCGACTTCTTTGGAAAATTAACGCGGATTATTACTTAGTGAACCATAACAACGCACTTGAAAGACAATTTTTAAAACATGTATACAACAGCAAACAAGCCTCAAAACGTAAACAGCACAATTAATATAGGCAGTTTGGACCGCCAAATTGAGTCAATTTCAATTAACATCGTCGAATATAAAACTTAATTTTATAATTCTATTTTAGACGTAGGGATTCTGTTGTTATGTCATCGCTCCGATTAAGAGACAATGGGAAAATAACATCCACAAACGTAGCATTTTAACAATTATAACAACTACAAAAAAGTGGTACAGTCGACTCCCGATAACTCGAACCTTCAAGGGAAATTGAAAAAGGTTCAAGTTATCGGGAGTTCGAGTCATCGCGAGTTGAGAACCAATGACCGGAAATAAGGAAAAAACGGTGTTCATAAATATTTTCCTATTCATGCAGTGTACATTTTTAATCAAAATTAAATTACAGAATAGAGAAGTCAAGTGAAAATAAAACAACACATCTCTAAATTACTGTATAAATCGAAATGTGACGTATAAATGTGAAAAATATAGCAAAGGAAAGGGGCAGAGAGAAGTCCAGGAACTGTGAACTGTACAGGTTTTTCACACGGCTGCTTCAAAATAAATTCAATGTTTTGGACT